CCTCTGGATGAAAACATGGTTGGAATTATTGTTCATTTGTGTATGCAATAATGAAATACAATAAAAACACAATGGCTAGTTTATTGCACTTAAGTGAAAAAAGAGATTGCATGACTATGTTTGTAATGAATACTAGTTTATGGAATACTATACATATACAATAAACAGAAGTATTCTACACTGTTGTCACATGAATTCATCACGTTGCAGGTAAATGCCATTCAGGTATTATTCTGAAAATAAAAACGTGTATTATAGTATGCTTCATTTTTGTGTACACACACTCAGCCCAATCAAGCAATGGTTTAAAGGATAAGAGTGAGCTAAACTTTGTGGCTACACTCGATTAATTTGTCACACTGAAAATGGCAGGTCGAGTGCTTTGCACTGTGGGATACAGTAATGTTTGCAATGTGCTCTGTTGTCTGCTGTTCATTATGGGAAATGTAGTACAGGTTGACAATTCATATACATTGTAAAAACTTCTAAATAAAGATCATTGGAGTATGTTTTTCAAGAGAATTACCAGTACATTTTCCGTGTTTACAGATATTTCCTAAAGCACAACACAATGCATTGTGTAATTCAAAATAAAGGTAAAACGCCAGTGAAAACAAACAATACAGAATACTGTTCTTACAGTGCAAAATTGCCTGCAAATAATAAGATGATTGATGACCATTAAAAGAAACAAAAGAGTGTAGAATTTCCACTTGCTTGTCTTAATAAGCACTTCCTTTCTCCAGCAACCCTCTAATATTGAAATCCATTCAAAAGATTGCATTATAATCACATAGTAACAGAGAAACACATATGGCCACAGTTATGGACACAAGGTTAATTGAACTTGTCGAGGTGCCTTTCAATGACAGTATCTGTGGGAAATGTAATGGAAGCAGCCTATTGGTTAAACACTGAGTTACCAAAACAAAAGTGACAACTTCTTCTCTGTTGAGTATTTGATAGATAGATAGATAGATAGATAGATAGATAGATAGATAGATAGATAGATAGATAGATAGATAGATCGATAGAAAGTGTTTGAAAAGCTAAAATATAAGAGAGTTTGGATTTGTATAATAACATTGTGATGACTAATGAGTAGGTGTCTCCAACTTTTCAAAGTTTAATGCCATTTGTAACAATCTGAATTTACATTTAATTCATTATCTGTTAAATATTTTAAAATGTAATATTGTCATTGAACTAGCCTACTGTACTACCAGTGAAAGAAATGCAAAACTGTCCCACAGTGCTGCTTCTCATGATTTCACAGGACACACCCACACTCACGTCATTGGTCTCAGGACGAACGGACACGCCCACTTCATTCATAAAGCAGTGCAGGCGGCACAAATCTAAGCAATGATGAGCATTTAAACCCAGATCACTACAGAGACTCCAGTACACACCGTGCGTCCATGGATAACAACTCCAACCATTGGAACTTGTTTGAAGAGATAAATATCTGGTTTTTGCAAGTCACATAAATTTGACAAATAGTCCAAACTTATTTCTAGGCGCAGACTCAGAATTGGTGCCATGTTACAAAGGAAACACAGCCAGGACTGACTGAACTGGGCGTCAAAGGAACTTTGGGCTGCTTTTCGGCGGACTGAAGTGAAAAAGAAGCAGCAGAGGAAACTGCTTCAGAAATGGCAAAGCCTATGGACCATGTAAAACGCCCCATGAACGCTTTTATGGTGTGGTCGAGAGCCCAGAGACGGAAGATGGCACTGGACAACCCAAAGATGCACAACTCTGAGATCAGCAAACGCCTCGGAGGCGAATGGAAACTCCTGTCAGACTCTGAAAAAAGACCTTTTATCGACGAAGCCAAACGCCTTAGAGCCGTTCACATGAAAGAACACCCGGATTACAAATACAGACCGCGGCGAAAGCCCAAAAACTTGATAAAAAAAGACAGGTATCATTTTAATGTGACGTACAATTTGGGTGACAGTGACCCGTTGAAAACGGACTCGCTGAGCGCGGAGAAAACGTCTGTCGCCGCTGCTACTCGAGTGTTTTTCACTCACCAACTGTCCACCAATCCCTATCCGTTTCTCGACCTGACCTCTAAAATGTCGGAATTACCCCCTGCACCTTTCCCACATTACTCAATGCTCGGGTATCCCGGCCGAGTCTCCGCGTTTCACGGGATTCCCGGGGTTCTGGCCGATGCGCCGCACGCTCACCTGTCTGCGGGTAACCCGGGTCACATGGTGCCCTATAACTGCCTGGGCTGGCCGGGATCTGGACCTGCTGTTCCTTCATCGTACGTGCTTTTACCAGGAATGACCAAAGCTCAGCATGAACCTTATCTGACATACGCTGCGACGATATGATTGGAAATTAATGGACCACAACGTTCATGTGGTACTATAAGGTCACGTGCACTTGTTTAAAGCTTTGCATTTTGTAAAAAAAAAAAAAAAAGAAATAGACGTTTAAAATAGTGTTTGTGCAAAGAGTTGAATCTTTAATCTTTTTTGTATTTTATTAAAAAAATTGCAGTTGCGTAGTTAGCAGAACTTTGCTGTAAAAACAATGATGTTACAAGCATATATATATATATATATATATATATATAACTAAATATGGCATTTTGTTGGCTGTATTTTACAGTTATAACCGTACATGTCATTAATTGATATAATGTTAATATTCCAGGCTATTAGAGCTAATAAAAAATGTTACTGTAAAACGTGCTGATAATAACACACAGGTGGTACAATGATCACATGGTACGACCAATAATAACATAAAGACAGAGCAGTGTTACACACAAACAAAACATATTAAATAACATTAACTAAACAACATAACACTCAAATATACATAACTGACGAGTAATTACAGAAAATGTTTAAAACATAAAATGTTATGGTTCACAGAAGGAATCAATGTCTATCACCATAAATTATGAGATCATTCACTTCATACTTTCATTCTCACACACAAATTTGCCTGTTGTTTTCTTCATATATTATAAAGTAAATTACTTTAGCAATTCTACAATAAAACTGACAACAACTTTATTTTATATAGCATCTTTTAAAGTGGTTTTCTCAAAGCGCTGTATTTTACCGTGCATGTTAAGGTAGCATTTTACATTATTTTCCTGTTAAATTGACTTTTTCTTTATAATGAGACATGGCATGTATGAACACATGATATGAGCTGTTATGACATGCACATTTTTTTTTTATCTACTTTAAGTTTTTATGGTCAATTATACCAAATGTGGAGGTATAATTATACTAGATAACCAAATGTGGAGAAAAATACAGAAGGAATCATTCCAATCACCTTCTAATAATGGTTTGTTGTTGTCAAAATAATGTTCTTCTGAAAAACCTGATAAATCTGCAATATGATACAGAACAGCAGATGACAAGTGACAGAATGGCACATGGGGAAACAATCTGTTAAGAGCACAGCCATCAAAACCAGAGACAGCAGCTCTATAACATCAGCTAGCTTAAGCAGATAATAGCTCTCAACCACGAACAGACTCTAAGCATTGATGAGAAGAAGCTCTTAAGAGGGAAGTGAAGGAAAAGGCCAGAAAAATACATAACAAAGGCGACGAAGACACAACTAGCTCCTGATGGGAAGTTTCTTTTCACCAGTTCATGTGATCAGTTAACTTGCACTTCTCATGCTTTTGTTGACTAGACTCAACACACAAAGAAGAAAGGAATAAATGTTTCCTCAGGCAAAATATTTAAAATAATAATCAATTAAATTGCACATTGCACATACAGTGTTTATTTATATACCACATAATAAATAAGATCAATAATAGTTGTTAACTTAAAGTCACTAAAACTAAACTGAGCTAATGAGTACATCATGTGTTCTCTCAGACAAAAATCCATTTATTAGAATCCATCTGTAATCCTGGCTCTTGATGCTGGGCATTTTAGCAGACAACGTGAAATTGCACAATTTTGAAAAATCTAATTGTACCAGGAGGCCTATGGTGAGTTTTATGGTTAAAAAAAAACAAACTAAAAAACAGGCAGAAGTTGCCAAAACAATGTTAATCACATTAACATAAAATGCAATCAGTTTAATGCGCTAAGTCAAGTAATACAAATTATTGTTATAACATATTTTGCATGTCAGTCAACTGACTAAAACCAGTGGTCTATTTTTATCTATAATCAGCAGTGACAACAGGTTACAAAGATCAAACGTAATTATCAGAAGCTTGTGTTTTAGTATAAAGTATAAAGATAACATACAGTATCACAAATAGCAGAATGATTAAGCTCCAGGAATGCAACTGTTTTATTATGTTTTTAATACCAATAAAACAATTTGAGGTTAATTTACATAAACAGAAACCATTTTCAGTGTAGCTTTTAAACATTCTTAAAGACAAACAAGCACCTACAGTAGCCTATTATTGCTGTAATTAAAGTTGTTTTAAATACATTAGTAAAAAGGTGTATTTATTTATTTTAAAGCTAATCAATACAACATGTTGTCAACAAAGTGGCCTATTGATAAATAAGTTAGTAAATAAATAAATAAATCTAGAAGAAAAACATTTCGGCTTAAACTACTTTCAAGTACGACAAAATTTCAAAATCAGTTTGACCATTTCTACCCTAGATTTGTACAAACATACAAATAAACTGCGTTTATGCTGCAGCTCAGACTCTTTATAGACTTTTTATTCTATGAACATGCGCACATTTAAAGCCATAGCTCCCTCTGCTGCTAACAGCTAGCATTACCTTTAATGTATTTTCTGCCTTAGTTTATTGTTTGTTTAATATATGAATGCCTTTATGCATGTATAATTTCATGTCAACTGTTGAGTTTAATAATCTTTTTTTTTTTTATCTTTTTTTTGTCCAGTACACTTGAGCAAAACGACTTCATGAAAGTTTCATAATCGTCTATGTTTTTTATTTTATGTCACAACTAGATTAATTTCTGTGATGTGAGACATGCACGCGCTCTACTGGATGTATATGGCAGTGCAGTATCTATGGCGCAGTAGTCTTACTTTTGGTTGCTAGGAAACAGTCAACAGTCAGAGCCAGTGGACGTCGAAGGGTAAGACGATGTGAAATAACGCTAGTACTGCTAAAAAATATATTTTACCAATCAAAAGTGTAAATATTACAACTAAAAACTTTTTTGCGTTTCTTTCTTTATTTCTACCGCTTACTGCGCGGAAAATATTTAGCAAATATCTGCATGAAAAAGCAGCGTGGCCTTGGCCTTTAATCTGAATGCAGGATTCTTTGATGATTAGTACAAACATCTATCTATGTCTGTCTGTCTGTCTGTCTGTCTGTCTGTCTATATCTGTCTATATATCTGTCTGTCTGTCTGTTTATCTGTCTGTCTGTCTATATATCTGTCTGTCTGTCTGTCTGTCTATCTATCTATCTATCTATCTATCTATCTATCTAACATGACAGATACGTGGCGGAAGGGGAGGGGCTACTGATTTCTGGATGACAAAAAACCTTATTAAAGTACATTTTTATATATTTGGGCCACAATTTGTGGCTTGACAAACTTTCTCCCAGAAGAAAGGACACAAGTACTCATTTGAAATCACTGTTTTATCCTATTTCTGTCTGTCTGTCTGTCTGTCTGTCTGTCTGTCTGTCTGTCTGTCTGTCTGTCTGTCTGTCTGTCTGTCTGTCTGTCTGTCTGTCTGTCTGTCTGTCTGTCTGTCTGTCTGTCTGTCTGTCTGTCTGTCTGTCTGTCTGTCTGTCTGTCTGTCTGTCTGTCTGTCTGTCTGTCTGTCTGTCTGTCTGTCTGTCTGTCTGTCTGTCTGTCTGTCTGTCTGTCTGTCTGTCTGTCTGTCTGTCTGTCTGTCTGTCTGTCTGTCTGTCTATCTATCTGTCTGTCTGTCTGTCTGTCTATCTATCTATCTATCTATCTATCTATCTATCTAACATGACAGATACGTGGCGGAAGGGGAGGGGCTACTGATTTCTGGATGACAAAAAACCTTATTAAAGTACATTTTTATATATTTGGGCCACAATTTGTGGCTTGACAAACTTTCTCCCAGAAGAAAGGACACAAGTACTCATTTGAAATCACTGTTTAATCCTATTGAATTAAACTCAGACACAAGAAAACGGATGGTTTGTATTAGATTATTACAGTTTTTCTCAATTGCTTTGGCACATTTTTCGTGATTTCATCAGAGACTCTGACTCTTCTATTTCCACCTCTTCCTCTATTATGTCTTCCTCTAACACCACCACCACGTATTCTTACACGTCTTCCAATTGCTCTTCCACGAGCATGTTGCTGCAGTTCAGGGTTGTGGAAGTCCTCCATTCTTAGTGATTGTGCTGTGGGCAATCTACATATATATGCTCCCAAACTTGATTGGTTAAATGGTTGAATGGTTGATTCAAATTGTATTGCAATTAGAGGTCATTTGCCAATTTAGCAGACATTACAAACAATGTCAATGTCAGATATTTATGGAATATACATGCGTGTATACCAATTTTTCATAATTGAATGGATCGTTTTGAATGTGATGGCTTGATGAAAATTGATTGAGAAGTTGTGAAGAGTTTGACAGTTTAAGTGAGAATCGGCTCATCAGTTTTGATCAACAAGCCTTATGCAATTAGTTGTTGTGCAAACTGCAGACAATTGTACTTACTGTTTGCACACATGTGCCAAAGCATTTGCAATTTGCTCAAATCAATAAGAAATTCCAATCTGATGTGAACAAGAAGCTAATTGTTCAGAGATCTGAACTTATTGTTTCGGGAAAAAAATGTTTCATTCGAGAATTGAGCCAAAGCAATTGAGAAAAACTGTAAAGTACATTTTTATATATTTGGGCCACAATTTGTGGCTTGACAAACTTTCTCTCAGAAGAAAGGACACAAGTACTCATTTGAAATCACTGTTTAATCCTATTGAATTAAACTCAGACACAAGAAAATGGATGGTTTGTATTAGATTATTAATACTTTTCATGTTTTTGGTTTTGTGCCTATGGCCAAACTGAGGAATATTATTATGAAATCTTTAGCTGTTGGTTCAGTGTTTTAGCAAATTTGGATTTTGTGTAGTTATGAAATGCATCTTCTCTTTTAAATCTGTGATCCACAGAAATTCAGCAAGCATGCCTAAAAAAGCAGGGAAGAAAGGAGGCGGAAAACTTGCCGGGATGACAGAAGAGGAGAGGCTTCTGTACATGCAGCAGAAGGCTCAAGCTGAGGAGGAGATAGCCAAGAGAAAAGAGGACATGCTCACACACTTCCTCAAGGTGTGCCAAACACCTGACAAATAACATATAAAACATATATGTGACCTTGGACAAAAACAAAAGTGTCAATTTTTCGTAATTGAGATTTATACATCATCTGAAAGCTGAATAAATAAGCTTTCTATTGATGTATGGTTTGTTATGATAGGACAATATTTGGTCGAGATACAACTATTTGAATATCTGGAATCTGAGGGTGCAAAAAAATCCAAATATTGAGAAAATTGCCTTTAAAGTTGTCCAAATGAAGTCCTTAGCAATGTATATTACCAATCCAAAAAAAAAAAAAAAAGTTTTAATATATTTACAGTAGGAAATTTACAAAATATATTCATGGAACATGATCTTTACTTAATATCCTAATGATTTTTGGTATAAAAGAAAAATCAATAATTTTGACCCATACAATGTATTTTTGGCTATTGCTACAAATATACCTCAGCGACTTAAGACTGGTTTTGTGTTCCAGGGTCACATATGAAGTGAAGAAAATAGTTTAGAAATTGTAAAATTCAGAGGGCTTTTGTTTGTCATAAAATCATTTTGTAAATTACATTTTATGCATAAAATATTTATCTATGCATACATATTTATGCATCAGATCAACAAAATGTATTTTATTATTTATTTATTTAACTCTATATGTGTTCATTGTTTCTGGTGTATCCAGAAATGTTATATTTAGAACTTTCTAATGCAGACAGATTAATGCTTGTGAGGCTAGTGATTTCTGCACTGACATATGATTTGTTTTTTAGGATAAACTGCAGAAAGAGGAGAGAAACAGCGTACTGAATCTCCATAAGCTGCGGCAGCAGTGGCGCGCTGTTTTAACACAGACCAAGACAGCAGAGCTACGCAATGACATGTCAGTGCTCAGCCAGAACTTTGAGCGAGTCCTGGATTACAAAGACGACATCATTAAGGTGACAACATCATTTAAGAAAATATCATGTATTCACAAAGCTTTAATGTATATAATATAGACTAGACTGTCACTTCTAACTTATAGGAAGATCAGGATGCCATAACTTTTACGAGAGTGTGGAAGCAGCAGGCTTCTGTGTGTGTGTATGTTTTAAACAGAGTTTGGTGGTTGATCTGTCTGAGAGGGAGCTGCAGTCGGAGCTGGCACGCAGTTCTCATCTGCACAACGTGGACTATCTGTTAGAGCTTCATAGGAGTCGGCTGGCAGAACTAGAGTTGAACTTCAACACAAATCTAGAAGAACGTGGTTCAGAGTATAATACTGAGAGGTACGCATACACACACAAACATTTTGAATGTAATGTAGACAACATCAGTTGGGTAATTCTTTTTGTGCTGAGCTGCTGAACTGTAGAAAATGAACATACTTTTGGTTGTGATTTTGCTGAAAACTTACCCTCAGTAATGCTGAGATGAGTTTGTTTCGTCATCAGAACAGATTTGGAGAAATTTACCATTACATCACTTTCTCACCAGTGGATCCTCTGCAGTGAATGGGTGCCGTCAGAATGACTGTCCAAACAGCTGATAAAAACATCACAATAATCCACAAGCAATCCACACAACTCCATTCCATCAATTAACGTCTTGTGAAATGAAAAGCTTAGTGTTTGTAAGAAACAAATCCATCATTAAAGTTTTTACTTTTAAACCATTGCTTCTGGCTAAAATATAAATCCATAATCTATAATAACACTTCTTGTAGTGAAAATGCATATTTCTCTCCTGATTCAGACAAGATGACTTTTTCACTGGTTTTGAAGTTAAAAACATCTTGATGGCTTTGTTTATTACAAACACACAGCTTGTGAAGTACCTTACTTGTGGATTATTGTGATGTTTATATCAGCTGTTTGGACTGTCATTCTGACGGCACCCATTCACTGCAGAGGATCCATTGATGAGCAAGTAATGTAATGCTAAAAATCTGTTCTGAAGAAGAAATAAACTATCTTGAATGGCCTGAGGGTGAGTACATTTTAAGCACATTTTCAATTTTGGGTGAACTATTTATTCCTTTAGGGAACTGAATTTTACAAAAAAAAAAAGTTTCATATATTATACAATTTAATAAGAAATGTTTAGCAGCATGAAAATGCACTTCAAAGGAATGAACAAAGTTAGCATCATCTGTACTATATTTCTTTTATATTTCAGAGAGCAAATTCTTTCAGAGCACCAGCAGGAGAGTATGTATTTGGAGAAGGTGATGTTTTCCACGGAAAAGCATTACACTGATCTTGACAACGAGGCTAGACGTGACTACGAGAGCACTCGCAATCAAATAAAAAAACAGGTACTGGTTTCATTATGTTTGCGTTTATTAATTTGCCAGATGCTGTTATCCAAAGCGACTTATATGAGGAACATTGCAAAAAAATTGTCATAGTGCCAACAATATTCATACTAGGTTTAGTAAAAACGAGATTAGTAAACAAGCTAGAGCAGAGGAGAAACACAGAAAAGAAGAAAAAGATAAGTTTTTAAAAAATATAATAAGAGTTAGAGTAATTGCATTAACCTAATGGATTACAAAAATACAGATTACACAAATATACAAATGTGTGTGTGTGTGTGTGTGTATATATATATATATGCAAGAATCTGTATAATATTTAACAAACCATTAAGACACATTATTATGGGTTTAATATAATGCAATGATGTTGGTTTTGTTTCTGCAGAACAAAGAGGATAAGCAATCAGTGAAAGATCAGATGGAAGGGGTTGTGGAAAAACTATGGCGGGAACTGCAGCAGGTTTTACACCACTACAATGAGACCACCAAAGACAGATTCATCGCAACTGAGTCTCTGCAAATCAAGGATGAACAAAGTGCTAAAGAGATTGACACGCATAAAAAGCACATTCAGAAGTTGCAGGTCAGCAACAAAGTAGCTGACTACTTTGAAGAAGCATTTTCCCCCATGCTTCCAATTGTGTTGTTTCACAGATTTTGATGATTTAAAATGTGAAAAATGTGTTGGAACATTTGCAGGAGTCTGTCTCTGCTCTGCGCTGTCAGCTGAGCTCCAGTCAAACCGGAGGAACAGCTCAGCAGCTTCATTCAGGCCGTGAAGAGCTCGCCCAGAAAGTTCAACATTTCAGAGCCCAGCTCGCTGAGGGCCAAACCATTCGGAGAAAGCAGCTCACCAAACTTACCATTCAAAGCAACGATGCTACTAAAAAACTACAAGAGATTGTAGTCATGGTACGTTTATGCATCCACATTTTTTACACAGTTCATTTACAGAATATTAACACACCAGCAACAACAAATTGTTCTTTATTTTCCAAACATCTGCTTTGTCCCTTCAAGTAATGCCATACAGTAGGGAATTAGGATGCCGTTTTAGATTGCTAAATATTTTTATGATTTTTATGAATCTTTTCATTCATCTTATTTCTTGTACATGTTTCATGTGAGGCATCAAAACCTCGTAGAAAATGAGTAGAATTAAAGAATAGAATTACATTTATTATTATTATTATTTAAATACATTTTAATTCAAAATAAACAAAATTATATGAATATTTAAGAATATTAATATACTGTAATTATAGTATATTAGATTGATCATAATATAATTTAAATTTCATCCATTCTCCTATATAATAGAATAGAATAGAATAGAATATGTGACCCTGGGACCACAGAACCAGTGATAAGTGACAGTTTTTTTTTAATTGAGATTTATACTGAATAAATAAGCATAAATAAGCTTTCCATTGATGTATGGTTTGGATAGGACAATATTT